CTGGACGTGAGTAGCCACATGTCATGGTAGTATTTATCTCGTCAAATGAGCCTTCGTTTTTAGGCCCAGTTAAACTGACACCTATCGATATCTGGTTTGTCGCCCCTATCCCCCCACTTGGTCTGGCTGAGTACTCTCAGTTGATACCAGTCTCGCATCTGAATTGGAGGTCTCCCGGGGAATAAATTGTTTGAAATGCATAAGACCTACGGCTTAGTTGGGCGGTCATCATTGGCGTTCCAGGATGGAGGTTAGACATTAGTCTTGGAGTTGACCCAAACTCATGGGCTCAATATGGGAAAGAAAACAGGTTTCAACGAAATTGGGTGGACCGGAAAGCACACCGAGTCACCAGGAAGGTGTCAGATCCTCTGAAGATAACCGCAGAGAAAACACTTCAATCAGCATCGTCCCCAAACTTCACGCTAAAAACATACTCCGTCGATTGTCCGTCGCTCGTGAACGGTGCAAGCGTGAGAATCTGGCTGTTTTAAGACCTGATCGAGGTTGTATTGACCGTATCTTCACTCTTCGCCAAATTTTGGAGCACTGACATTCGTTTCGAAGACCCATAATCTCTTTCGACTCAGTCTGCCACTCTAAACTCTGGCGCTGTCTCTCTCCGAAGTGTGCCTGAGAAGTTTATTTCAATATTGCAATCGCTTTATATTAATAGCCGAAGCTGCGTCCGAACTTACGGCACTCTTCACCCGAGTTCACCACAGAAAATGGTGATCGTCAGAGTTGTCCACTCTCTTTGTCCTTTTAACTTCATCATGGATTAAATTCTTGAAACAGGCCTATCCTCTTGCGAGGATAGCGGCGTCGGTGTACTCCAAGGATTTTGACTGGCTGATCTGGAGTATGCAGACGGCATTGTGCAGCTAGGTAGAGATCCAGGTAATTTGCAAGCTTTTCTAGATAGTTTGAGTCCAAGTGTATCTATTTTTGTTATGCGTTTTGCCCTTGATGGGGTAACTGGACGAACCATACTGAGGTTAGTCATAGAGTCTCTGGTAATCGCGGTCGTCCACTGGAGCAAGTAGTCGGCCTTCATAGATTACGCTGGTTGAGACATGTGCTACGCATGTCACCAGATAGCATTCTATGGCGAGCGATGTTTGTCGAGGGAGGTAGCGGTTGGAAAAACAACGAGAGAGGTCAAACGAGGACCAATCATGAAGATATGAAAACCCTAACCTTGATCCTTTACTCGTGATTGAATGAAAAGTATTGCGACTATTGCCGATAGCCGCAGCCTTCTCCGTTTCTCTACACTTTCCTACCCACCAATTTTCGTGGTCATTCCTCAGACTCTTGATGAGCTGGTGTTTATGAGATTTGCGCACTTTGTCGTATTTTGAATCCAAAGGAATGGTTTTGCAAGCCTCCAGCACGGCAACCGAGGTCGGGGATGTTAGGACTGAGCTTAAGCAACCTGTCCAATCGCGCACCCCTCCGAGTCAGGCCACACGCACACTCGCAACGCTCCGGACAGGCTGAACCTGATTGGATGATCACAGAACGAGTCAGCCAATGTTTGTCCGATCGATCAATCGGTATGTCAAGGACGCAATCTGATTAGCGCGTCACTGCGCCGTTCTCTTATACACGATTTGCTCTATATATTTGCGTATAGATATCTAATCAAACAATACACACTGAGTGTTGTCTCAACCTGTGTTCTCTCCGCGTTATCGTGGGGGGATTAAGCAAGAGTCGCTCGTGTTATTCGTACGTCTAGTCCGAACACAACAGTGGAGATACATCTTTTTTGTATGACCGTGCGCCAGAATTCACCGTTGTTTTGATCGACGCTTGGATCACTTCCTTGACTGTCGTCCATTGTTCATCCGGCTGCTGGTTAATCCGAGAGGCTTCGAAAGCCGATTTTCAACTCTCGGTGATATTGTATTGTGGGCATCCGTTTTTGGTGGTTTTTCTGCGGTTCTTTATCAGGCATAAGGAGAATCTTGCTCGTAGCAGAGTATGGTCCGTGTCCACGGGTGTTGACCAGTAGGAGCGGCAGTCCTCGATGGATGATCGATTTGAGTACAGCGCTGTGAAGCAGTTGGCGGTCTCCATGCAAGGCGGCGTCGTTATGCGAGAAATTCGTGCTTGACAGAAACAGTCCGTGGTCAGCGCTTAGTTGGTGTTGGCATTCTCTGTTACCAGTCCGGTTAGCTGGGATTGCATGTGAACTACGAAGTAGCCTTTGTGATTCTTCCAAGGATCCCACTTCAGCAGTGAAGTCTCCAGCAATTACCAAACAAGTCTTAATCGTGTTTATACTTAGGTGTGACAGGTACTAATCTTGGGCCAATGGTTTTAATTTGTTCAAAGAGATGTCGTGGACAGTTGCACGTTCTGAATATATGTGAATAAATTTGTTAAGTGAAATAACAATGCACAATGAAACTGTTGATTACCATCGCGATACTGTTTGCTTTGCCTGTGATTTTTATCTATCAGTTCGTTCTCGTTTTCTCTAGTGTGTTGCAGATTTGATTTTGATGTTCAAAGAGAATACGATGATCACCGATGTGAATCTGTCCGAAAACCAGCTCACTTCTAAGTGCGCCGAGAACTTATGCGACGTTCTAGCCTCGAGTACTCAGCTAGAGCGCATTGATGTGCATGGGAACCGCTTCGATGATAAGGCTGGTACATATTTCGCTGATCTTATGGCGGTAAGTTTTCCAAAAAGATACTTTTGAACGGGCTTTATTGTTCAGCTGAGCTTAAAATAATACAGAGGAGCACGAGACTTGTATGAGACGGTCGTCAAATGAGTTTTACAGTTGTTATATCTTTACAAAGTTCTCTGTCGCTTTGCCCATGTGAACGTCAGTGTGTGAGTTAGTTGGTTGATTTCTTGATTTGAAAGTAGTCTCGGATTCAGTTTACCGCATGGTCGAATGATGTAAAAGGGGAGGTACAGTTCTCTTAGACGAATAGCCGAGGTCGATTTCTGTGTTGTAAAAGATTGTTTGGATTAACCGTTTGTATTCCTGCCACAATTGTGTTTTTATGATTGGTCCGTATAAGACTTGTTTTACAAATCGGACAATCTGATAAGTGCAAACTTATATATACGCTTGCGATTCTCGTCCCAAATATGATTTATGTCCGGTGCACTTAAAAATTATATCGAAAACACTTCCTGAGAATCGATTTTTTACATGGTGGCAGCGGAAACTGGTGAGGAGGCAGCAGAGAAACATACAGAAACGCTTACCACAACGGAGGATTATGGGTCATGCAGAATCGCCACAGAAAATCGAACACGACTAACAGCTAATTGTCGTTTCCGTGGCCGCATGCATATACTGAGAAGAAGCAACTGCCCTGCTTGGGGAAAAAACGTGTGATAACTGTAAAAAGTGTAATCATTTTTCAGCAGTTTCATAAAGAAAGAATCAACTCCAGAACCTCACGTTCAAGCAGCTGATCGCGTGAATGGTGTAAATTACCGGCCATGCGGAAAGCCATATTTGCAAAGATGCTGGTGACTGGAGAAGAGGTAACATTCCAACTAGATTCGGTGCCAACAGAGAGCCGACAGGAGAAGCCATCATCACACTGAAGAATTCAAAAATCAGAGTCTGTTCTGTTGTGAGTTTTGTCTTGGTATAGCCGGGCTATGTTTCAAACCTTGGATACGAGTCGATCCAGCGACTTGGTTTGGTATCGTTTAACTCTGATTCATTTTTTCATCACGTATGTAAAGATACTGACTACTACCTGTAAAAGTATGCATTTGTTTTCAATGGAAAACTGGGAAAGTTGTCATATAAATGACGCAGTTGAGTCAATTGGGACGGAAATCACAGGTATTTATATAAGTTTGCCCAATCAGATTGTCCGGTTGGTAAAACAATTCTTATACGGATCAATCATAAAAACAATTGTTGCAGGAACACAAACGACCAATCCAAACAACGCTTTCCAACACAGTCTATCTATTCCAAGATGAGTTATAGAATATTGATATATTTTCAGACTTCCCTTCGATTGGCCTATCTCAATTTGTCGTATAATAATTTTGGTGAACAATCAGTGGTATTTTTTGGACGAGCTCTTCCTCAGGCCACAAGCATTGTGGAATTGGATCTAAGTTGGAACCGCCTCGGATCTGGCAATCTACGACCATTCGGGAAGGGCTTGAGTGTGAGTTTGTGTTTTGTATCTCATTCCTGCTGTTTAACTACAATGTGTCCATAAAATAAATACTGATTCGAGGTTTCACATTGTCCATAATATTTTTAGAGAAATGATCAGATGCTCTTTGCTATCCAATTGCTGCGTTTTTATTTTGTCCCCCAAACTTATCGGTGTTCAAAGGTGGGGCTTCGCATTTCGTTAGCCAATACAGTTTTCACCAAAGTTCTACATCATCACCACTAAGTCTTGTGATGTCATTTTATTCCAACACTAAAGGAAGTTAACCCATTGTAGGCTGATAAAAAGCAACCTCAGTAACACTAAAACGTTACGGCCATTTGGCAGGGTTGGTAGCCAGTCTATTTTTTCACAAACGTTATTATCTGCAAAGCCTCATTCGTGCGATCGACAAATGAGACGAATAATCTACTTTGGAACCGTCACTCACCTTTATTTCCACCCGGGAACCTCTCTGTTGCACGTACTACTAATACAGTAGCGGTAGTACTAGTGTGAATAGTATATTTCCAGTGCGCAAAAGAAAGTAATTGACGGTTTTTCTGAATGGTGAAAAATAAACCACATTTTCTGGAGCGAACTCTTGTACTCAAAATCGTAACAGCGGAAAATGTGCATCTACCATCTGACCGTTCTATTATTTGTCCTGTGTGCTTGTGGGAATTCTGAAGACTTGTTCCAAATGAGACATTTTGTTGTATGTATGCTCATTTACGTACAGTCAATCTCCTGCTATATCGCACCCCTGAGAAGTCACTTTTTCCAACATCTTTCCACTTTTTCGAAAACCCGAACCAACCGTGTGCTTAATAACGTAGCGATGTCGCACCGCTCCATATGTCGCAGTTCCTGATACGTACTCACTTGGTCGTTGATCGGTGTTCGGGACGGCCATTGACGAACCAACGCGAAATGTCGCCCTCAACCAATCGCGTTGCAACTAGTGTGACGCGTTCACGACACCGTTCACTGAGTGGATAATCCTTGCGAGGAAGTCGCACCGATGCAAGCGATCGCAGACAGTGTCATTTTCCGTCAAACTGTGCAAGCGCCTATCGATCAGAGAAAAGCAGAATGTGTTAGAAATGCTGAGACAGCCAGGTGCAACTCAGAGCTCCGTAGCTAAATTACTTGGAATTTCAGAAAGGACTGCCTACAACGTTGTATCCCATCGAACGACTATCGGGACATTTTTGAACACTGGAGCACCTAATGCCACCTGAAAACCAACGAAAAGTTCAGGGCAATGAATGAGGCAACTTTGGTTTGGTTTACTGCTATGAGGGAAAAGCATGGAGAGTTTTCAATAATGGGAGCATCGTACGTAAGAAGGCAATCCAGCTAGCACAAAGATTGCATCATGATGACTTCAAGGCTTCCAAAGGGTGGTTTTGCTCTTGTTCATACCGATATAGTATTCAATCTTACAAAATAAGAAAAAAGCAACTCATGTGCATTAGGTCTGTGGTTGGTTTAGCGGTTCCAAATGAAGCAGTGGATGAGTTTCGAGCGGGGTTACCGCAGTTCATACATGGATATGCTTACTGTGATATTTTAAATGTAGATAAAACAGCTTTGTATTGCAGGCAGCTTCTAGAAAGAACATTCAGTTGGAAAGGAAAGACAGTTTCTGGGTCCAAGAAATCCAAAGAGTGGGTCACGTTACTGCTTTGCGGGAGAAAGGTTATCACCGTTGGTGATTGGAAGGTTTTAAACTCCACGATGGTTTCTCAAAGGCGCTCTGTTGTACTATGTATGGACAACGCCCCTTGCCATAACCAAGCCGCAGTATTCTCCAATGTCACATTGGTACGGCTGCCTCCGAATTGTTCTTTAATGTTACAACCAATGGATCAGGGCATGATTTGGTCTTTCAAATGTTCTTATCGGAAATAGTTACTGGAATATGTTTTGTCTCTGATCGAAGATGAGCAACGTATTTTTTTTCTTTTTCTTTTCATTTTCACTTTCTTTTATTGAATACACAGTGATACAATTTTCAGGAAGGGGGAAGCGGCCAATCAGAGAGCTGCCATACAACGCACATGGGGAAAGTCAGCTTGTGGTGGTGGGATTCGAACACTCGTCCTCCGGGGTGATAATTTGGTGACGTTACCATCATGAAAACCCAAGTGGAAATTCTCATGGCCATTCATCTGGCCAAGAAAGCTTGGGTGTCAAATCTTTTTTTAGTCCTTAGATGAATTCGTTTCGAATCAAGCTAAGCATCGCCTGGTTTACGAATCACGGTATGGCGTCACGTGTTGAACTTAGTCCGACCAACAACGGTCATGCTGATTGCATCAATCGGTTTGAACATATACTGGTTACAACAAAGCGAACGAACGAATAGATGTCTAGACGCACAAACATCTTCACTAGAAAATCATGAATAGATTGCACAGAAAACAATCAGTTTGAATATGGGAAGGAAGACAATGTTGAATATATCCCGTAACAGATATTTCACTCATTTTTGATGTTATTTCCTTTTCACTGTATTGGAAGTGGTTCACCTTTATTTTCCCTCAATGCGTTAATAATCATGTCATTGTTATAGCCAAAACAGTTGTATATTATGGTGGACGTCATACAATCAAATCTCTGGTTAGCCTTACACTGCAACCAAATGGAGGAATGTGTGGAATTAACATGGAATAATTGGGTCAGAAAAAGTTCCCCTGTAGAAAGGTAGGTGGTTTCGGGATAACTAGACACTTAGAACTGAAAAAAGGTCTGAATACCACATGCAATGTACTGATATTAGACTGAGGACGTCACAAAAGATTTAGATTTCTTCGATACATAGAGGATATGCAGGACGGTAGATCTAAATTCCGTTATAAATAAAACGATTTATAATTATAAGCGTTGGGAACAAGTCACGGAAGTAACCTACTTTTCATCGATCCGGTTTATTTTGTCACAAAACAGTCAACCGATTTTTATACTGCTGATTAACGTAAACTACTGTTTACCCTGCTATGTCGCTGTTCCTGGAATTTACCCTCTTTTTAGAATTCCCGAGGGGTGCGACATAGTAGGAGCTTGACTGTATATCTTTACAGTTATAAGTAGAAAACAATCAACTTCGTCCTAGCACCGCCTTTTAGCTTCCTAACAGTAGGGGTAGTAGTAGTAGTAGTGTAGTACTGCAGTGCCCGAAGAGACAATGAAATTCTTCTGGAAATGGATTGTGCTGCTGCGTTTCTAATTCAATGAAAAGAAAACAGTTGGTATGGATGAACACGTCAGATCTGAGGGTTCCGGAGACATGCAAAGAATTCAAATGTCTTATTCTGACAGAGCGAAAAACGGACCGCTTCAATTGCAGAAGATGCACAGAGTATTTTCTCTAAACCGGTGGGTGGGTGAAACCATGCTATTTGGGTGTGACCACCAAGCCGGACGCCACTCGATAAGCATGAAGGGTGACGCACTGCTTCGTGCGCACTACAGCTAAGGTACAACTGATCGCAGTTGCTCGGGCATTGACAATAGCTCAATAACCAAGCTGACCATGGTAACTAGGACCAGGGACGAGTTTTGGGTTTACGGTGCAATCCGAGTGATATACGAGAATCATGGGTCTATTTGATGAACAATGTTAGAAAAGTTATACGGGTTGGAGTCCTTGAGGTGAACTTTGGTGAATGGGCTGGCTGTCATCAAGGGACTAGCAACCAAAACCAGTTACACCTTAAGTGTAGCTCGTCCATTCCTGGCTCAGGCCACAGAACTGAACGAAACAGAACGCAGTCGATCTGTTTGGTAAAAAGGGTTACTCATTTTCAGAATAAGTATTGCTGCATAAGAAATATCGACCAATGACATAAAGATACAGTGGACATTCTTTTCACAAGGTTGCGGTCAGCAAGCAGACTGAGCCTAAAATTAATGACTACTGTGGGGACTCTAATAATAAACTGTTTAATCTTTCGGCAGAATCATAAGATAAGTCCAAGAAAATGAACATCAGCATTTTTTTATATTGGATTTGTTGATAAGGTCAGTTACAGTCAGTCAGGTCGACTAGCTGATGCTTGGTGTAATGTCCGCATTGCTTCAAGACCAGAGGAAGAAAAGGGAAAGTCGCGGCCTAATACTCCGTGGTCCGTACTACTCAAGACTTCTGAGCTACATCTGCTGAATTGTTCAGGTTTTTGAAGAGGAAGAGGATTGGCATGTTGCTGCAAGACACAATGTAGTGAAGTTTAGGACCGCTTACAACTGGATTAATGCCAAGGAACTGCAGTACGAACGTCAACCGAAAGACGGAGGAAGAACAAAGACTTTAAACGATGCGGAGATGGACGAAGTATTTATCACTGAATTCATACAGTCCACCACGCAAAGTAAACCGGTTTGCGTATAGACGGGTGGTGGTGGCGCAGTCGTTTAGTCGCTGTCAAAGGCGTGCTTTGGACCCTATGATCCGAGGTTCGAGCCCCGCCACCGCCACCCGACTTTGGTGGTAGACAGCTCTGCTGTCGTCCGGTTCAATACCAATCCTAACCTATCGGGGCCTAATGTGGTTCGCTTAGGTTGCCGATTTCAACCACTGAACAGCGGGTTCTCATAACCATGGGGTCCACCCCGTTTGCTGTTCATCACACCTAGGTGGGTAATAAAAAAAATCACATTCACAAGTAGTAAATGCAAACTGGCTTTCAACGCTCGTACGGCTAGTCGAATACCGGAAGTTGGGCATAAACTATGGCCACAGTCCCATTTCCCCGTCTAGATTCACAATGAGAACACCACCGTAGTCGTTCCTAAAATAACGATTACCGAAGCCCCTACCAACCAGAAATTGTGGAAATGTTCGATAACTTAGTAATTCCTTGGAGATCAGAACACTTTCTACATAATGTAGATTAGCTCTACGTACGTCGCGTTGCTAAAATTGTCTTGCTCTGCGTTTATGATAGTCTTTAGTTCTTCAAAACAACTTAAGGCACGATATTTCAATAAATATGCCTGATCAGAAAGCTATTGTCCAGCAAATAAAGCTTCGTGACGTGTAATTGTTGCATTGGTTATCACATTTGAACAACAACGCAGCATTTTACGGTTCTCGCAGGCAATCCGAGGGAAACGATGGAGATACAATATCAATTGATGCATATCACACATCGGTAAATAAAGGATGAAACAATCTACTTCTCTGACATAATATTACCTAGGCTTGTGGATCTGATTAGGAGAAGACATTTTTCGGTGGGACGTTTCATGAAGTACAACCATTCGAGTACTACAGGGCAACTCGTAGATGTGACCAAATTTGAGCAGAAGCGAAGGATTTAAATTCCGCCGAGTAGTATCCGATAAAAACGTGGATCGCGGAGGAGAGAAGATAGACTAAGCGTCTGATCTTAGGAGAACGTTTTTCGGTGCTTTTCGAATAGAATGAAATCGGACTCTACCAATCGCGTTGGTTGTGACGAGGTTATGGCGAAAAGTTTGAGCTTTCTTAATTTCTGAATTCGCAACCTAACGTCGATCTCTTAGATAAGTATGCAGGCCGCCAAAGAAAATATTAAGCAAGCTGTAGCTTATGGCTTCTGCTAGAAGGGCTAGAAGGGCTCGGTAATGATGAATGGTTCACAGAATCCAGCTATCAAATATTACCTCACGACATTAAGAATCCTCGCGTATGCGAAAAAATCAACTCATGAACTACGACTTCCAAAGAATGACGGGTCAGCAAAAGTGGCCGTAAGGGTCTGCCAGGAGTGTGGGTGCGCTTTTGATGATCTGGGAGGCCTTTGGTCGAGTGAGACAAGAAGCAGTACAGGGATTTGGATATTGCGTGCAGCTAACCCTCCCTACGCCCGATTGGAGAATAGGTAGCTCAGAGTTAAAACTCTACAGATTTATGGATGTTTAAGTAAGACTACATGATTTTAGGGTAAAGATTATCAAATTCAAAGTGCATTTTTGAAAACATTCCAATTTTTGAACTTGTATTTCCGTATAAAATTGCGTAGTTATCATGTTGTTTATGGTATATTTCGACAGTCTTCGTTATGTTATTTCTATTGCAGCTGGTTTGATAGAGACATCTCATTCCGTTCTGGATATATGGCCATAATAGTCATTTTGAATATTCAGTACTTGAAGGTGCTTCTGTGGTGGTATCACAAAGATGGAATATGACCTTAAAGTCTGGAACAAACTGGATGTGAATCTGGTCAACACTGATACTTATATCGATCGAGCATGATCGATTGGTGTCCCAGTGCAGCCGCTCAAGGTATAGCTTATGAATTCTGTTTCACCATCATGCTACGGAGATAAGCAATGGCCCAAGCGTTGATCTCGCATGATTCCTTTTTTTCTTTTTACTTTCTACTTTCTTACTTTCTTTACTTTCTTTATTGAATACACAATGATACAATCTTCAGGAAGGGGGAAGCGGCCAATCAAAGGGCTGCCATGAGGAAAGTCAGGCGGTGGTGGTGGGGTTCGAACACACGTCCCCCGAGGTGGTAATTTTGGTGACGTTACCACCGGGCCACCACCGTCAGTGGAGGGCGACAAACCCACCCACCCACACACACACACACACACAGAAGCGTACGCTTACTAGCAAGATAAACAACCAACATGTATGTTCAAATAGTTGTTTGTTGTTTGTTCAGTAGCCCACCGAGGCTACTGAACTTTTCACAATCGACATACAATATGTATGTGTTGATAATCTAACATGGCATCGATTCACTCTCCCGCTACGTGGTTACCAGGGCTATGCCAGACTGATGTAGACCTCCGTTTACTGACAAAGCAGGGGCTTTCAGCACTCTATTGCTATGGCCTATGCAAATCTCAGCAGCTGTCCATTCGAAGTTGTATAAATAACCCGAAAAGAAGTCCGCGGTCGGCTTGGTGGCCAGTCTGCAGCAGATGGTGAGCATTTGATCATGCGGGTGTTTTTTGTGGCTAGCTTGGTGAGCTGGATGTTTGTGTAGCTCTCAATCTGATCCATGGGTCGAACGCGAACAGATCAATGTATACTCGCCAGGTGTATATGCAATACCTCTAGAACACTTGAGAATAAACAGATCTGAAAGCAGCATCACCAGTAATTCGTTAATGTAATGTAAGCTAGAAAATATCTCTTAATGATTTATCTCAATAAATAATCGGCCATTATGATTTGCTTTATTCTAAGATAAGAATTACTGTCTGGTCAGAGTATGACACCACTTCGCCAGCCCAGAGTCCTTGTTGGAGGTGATTGCAGGACGGGGGGAGGGGGCAATCACCTCACGGCAACTGAACATTAACCCGTATAAGTCCATTCACGATATTCATGATTTTCATTTTTCATCCGTTATCAACAATAACGCAAAGCTTCTCGTCAAAGGCTATGTACTACAGGAAAACACCGACCTTGAGAGAAGTAAAATAAAGCCGAATTTATTGCTATAAATGGATAATCCGTATTCAATTTCAGCATGAACTTAGCTTGCGGTTTGGTATTCAAGTTCATGCGGAGCAACATAAGTAGTAAGAGACTGGAATATCAGAATCCAAGCTTTCGTATTTTTCGATTGCACCACGGTGTCGTAGGATCGGAATAAAACAATGTACCCGCAGACGAAGTTTACGATTTCCATCTTTCGGGTTGTCGATTGATTGCTTTATCGGTTATTCGCCAGTGTCGCACACCTCATTGTTTCTCGCGATGTTTTCCACGTGACTTGCTAACTCGGTCGAACGAAAATACACCATTCTAAGATCTAAAAATCAATCACTGCATAGACTTATTGCAGTTCAGTTTAAACTATCAATCCATCGTCTGATTTCGTCTTTTTCGAATATTCAAGAAAAATAGCAAGAGAAAACAAGAAGCAGAATGGTGATTGGAAAATGATATAGTATACCATATAGATCAGTCGTCTTTAAGATTACCCGTTTTTGGTTTGTTCAAGTTACCACCTTTCGCTTCTCAGTACTGCTTGTGACCGACAAATAAATAACTGAAATTGAAGGATAAAATGAGACTGGTAACAAAATAAAGACACTAATTTCGAATAAACTAGTTTAATGCAGAAAATTGGAAAATGCACGAGTTCCATTATTCGCCACACAACCAGTGGCTTCACTCGTTGATTAGGCTGACCCAGAGGTCCCCGACCGGGAATTCAAGTTCTAACTACATGTGGAAGTCCCCCGGTCAGAGTTCCCATAACTTTGAGCCAGTTTCTATTCTTACTGACACCTGTCTCCGCCTATAGGGTGAGCCGAGGAAGCCTATTTGGGGTTGCGCATCGAAAATCTACGGTGCAGTTGCACTAGCACGCTACCATGAGTACGCAGTACTTTTATCCTGTGTTCATCCAATAGGACCTATGCCGTATTGCTATCATACTGTCATTGCTTTGTGAGACTCCTCCGCTCGGGAAGGCTCTAAAAACAAATGCTTTGCTCTGCTGTTTTTGTATTCTGATATTATAGATTAAACCTATTTGATTCTAGATTGTATGCCAAAGAAATCATAGTCTAACAAAAGTGGCATGTGACCAAAAAACCCTTCTGAAGAAATTGGTTATTTTGGCAGATGTTTTCTTCGAAAATGAAGCAGATTCATCTGCTCACAGATAAAGTACAGTTAACATATTCTGAAATGACTAAAGCCAGATTTGTTTGTGTTAGCTGTAAAAGCATCCAGAGTGGTTGATAAGAGTTTACTTATGCATGAAAATAATTACTTTGTTGTTTCTAATTAGACTTCAGACTGAAAACATATAAGCGGTTATAGAATTGATACTTTTGCAAAAATGCTATGAGCACAGGATATTAAAAATAACGATTTTCATCATGCTTAACTACACTGTTTTCTCTATACACCGATATGCACAGATGACCTTATACTTTGATTGATAACATTTTGCATGATTTATTATCTGAAAATCGATTTACACGGCAAGCAATTTGATGTAACAGCAAGTGTGCTTTGCATGATCCATCAGGAAAACAAGTATCTGAAGATCCTCAATTTTTCCGCCAATGGAATTGGCCCCAAAACCGGTTGTCCAGAATTTGCAACGGCGTTACGTCAAAACAAAACACTGGAATCTCTGAATTTGAGGTATGACCATGCGGTTTATCATGTGATTCGTATTAAAAGATTACCTGACGGTAGTAGAGGGAGTTATTGTTGACAAATCCAATTTTTGTGGTTCAGTATTCTTATCCTACAGCTCCTGTAATCAAGTTACTCACATTAATCAAGAGTTGTATAAACAATAGAACAGCTATCAAAATTCGGAGCTGTTTTTTCTCCTTTTCTCTATTTCTCCATTTTAAAAC